TTTTGTTTTTGATGCGCTAGGGAAAAATATAATGCAATCAATCGGTTTGAATATGTACAGTTTAACCTACCCTGCGGTATAAACATTTATTGCTCAATATGTGTAACGTTCTCCGTGTATGCATTTGTATTCCATGCGAAGGGAACGAAGCTTCCCCACGTTTACTTCTCTTTCCTCTCATCTCTCTTGTACTCTAAATACATTTATACTGGGAGATTTTCAAGTTTGGAAATGAGAGTTTTTACTTTCTAGTGTTTACTCATGTATGCGACAGGAACTTCGCGAGAAACTTTATGACGATTTAAGACAAGGTGTGTCGGCTGGATGCATTGACGGGGAGATAAGATAGCTGGATTTACGAACCATGCTATGTCAACAGTAGGGATTATAAGCGAATTCCCCACTTCCGGAATATTCTCTCCTCCAAGAAAAAAGCTTGCCCGTAATCTATATTTGCTCGCCTATTTCGCAGCCTACTATCTGTTGCCTACTATCTGTGGCCGAAGATAACGGGTACGTTGCATTATGAGAGCTTTAAAGCATATTTAGGTTGAGAAATGATTATAATGAATAGTGAAATTCACTTGGTTTTTGTGGATCTAGCCCTGGCGAGTCTTTCCCAGAAAGAATATAGAAATAAATAATGATCACACCATTGGCGTAATGCGATACTTATAGCTTAAATCATATACGTTGAAGCGTGCACCTTTAGAACTCACGTGTACTAAAGTCGTACTACTCAATGGACTTCGACTTTGTATATATTTATTGAGACGCTAAGTTATATCAGGTGGTGATGCATTAATGCCAACTTTGCAAAGGATATGGTAAAAAGTCGAATCCCATTTCGTAAAAAGATTTCGTGGAAATTTATTATGTATATCTTACTTATGTCAAACCAATGTAAAAGCCACGGGTTGAAATAACTCGAATCAGAACATTTCGTACATGTCCATCTGCTATTTCTTCATCAGTTTCAATGTTCTTGGAAACAACCTGCGAAGCAGCATTTTGTGCGCTTCGTCATGCACGCATATCCACTGACTGGGACTTCAGAACTCCTCTCTTTCTCGCACGTTAAGTAGATCCCGTCGCATAATAGTTAAAACTTCTCCATTTTTTCAAAGCATTTTGAGAACACCAAAATAAATTTTTAAAATATTGGAGTTCTAACTCAAAGTTGTAAAGTTACGTGAAGCACTGTCTTAAATTGGCGACGAGACCGGTAACGCGGCAAAACAATGCCATATGATCATTACCAGCAGTTACCCTAGCAGAAACTCCCGTGGCCATCGATTCCACTAACCCTCATTGTTGGTTGTGAGCCCACAGCCCGGCAAGGCAATCAGTATGGCAATCAGCACAATGCAATTTTTTATCACATAAATTAGGCCCCATGACATCAAAATAATAGGACTTTCTTAAATTTCGACCTAACAGTTATTGCCACCATGTTATAAGCTTTCAAATGAGACATATAGCATTAAAATGGGACACACTGCACGAATTTCGAACTCTCAGGAATCAGATCGAGAAAGGAAATATATTTCCTGTCATCCGAGACTCCCAAAAATGGGACGATTTTTGAGACTTCCAAGAAGATCCAAAAACTATCGCATCCGGTCATAAACTTTCGACTGATTCATGAAAATCTGTTCAACCGCCACGAATAAATTTCTCGGAATGACACTCTGACACACATTTTCTTCTTATGCATCAAGTTAAAGGATGAAAGATGGCCGGGCATTGAAATCGCACTGCCCATCCCGAATAATAATGTTTCTTTTGGGCGTATAATACATTGTTTTATGAGTTTCAGACTTCTCAATATAACTGTCTTGCACGGATAAACTCGCCATTTAGTTTTTGCTATTTTGATTTAAAGCAATAAATAATCAGTGAAATGATTTAACAAGGGCGCAGATGGAACTAACCTTTGCCAGAAAAAAATCCGGTACGGGACTCCATACTCTGCAAGGGAGGAGGGGAGAAGAAAAGTGGGTCCGAGGATGGCCGTCAAGAGTATAATGGGTGGGGTGGAGGATTCCCCCAAGCCTCCATAAAATCACGTCACTGGAGAAAGAGGAAAAGTGAAGCGGAGCTGTACGCACTCGATCAAAGGCAGAGTAATTGAGCTTTTCCGTTCCAGCCATCTCGCATTGGAATGCGGAATGCGATACAACCGCACGAGCACCGTGATTGGCCACACGATTACATAAACCCCTGATAGAACCACTCATCTCTTCTCGGCATACGAGGATGTGCGTCACACCCAATGCGTGGGATGAGACATCATTTGCTTCCACTCGCGTCAGTGTTCAGTACTCCCATCGGACGCACCCCCGTCCTTGTGTCTTTCAACATGAACATAATGCGGTTTGCCGTGGCAATTGTTTCCACTTCCGAAAGGCTGCAAGGTTTCGGAGTCTAACACTGAAAGGTGAGCTCACATTTTTCTCATGAAATCGAAAAATATTCAAAGACCGCCGACAAGTGGAAGACTTCCACGAGCTTCGGGTCGGTCTAGGTCAGGGGTGTCGAACTGCCGGCCCGAAAGTTGATTTAGTCCGACCCCCAAAGTCCTCTTCAGCAGTTGCTTTTGGAAAAGCATAGATATTTTCTACCTGTTAGTAATTGAAACTATGGTCTAAGACTTGCAAATGTGGACCTAACCACTCCAATATGGTTCCATCCAGCCCATAGCTTAATGAAGTTTGACATAGCTGGCCTAGGCTAAACGTGTAGCATAGTGCAGCAGCTGTAGTAATGCTCTACCGAATGTAAATGTGTACGATAAGAACGTGCGGTGTCGGAGCAACTGCTCCGACACTGTGCATCGGGCATATCTCCTTTCCCTTGTCCAAGGGAGTATTCACACCTACGATAAGGAGTTCTAATGATTGCACTCGTATCCAGTATCGATGGTGACCCCGTGCGCATCGTCCGTAAAGTCCCTCTCTACCACTTTTTATGTTTGCCTATGAGTGAAAAATACGGAGAAATGGGATGGTTACGACGCGACCGACGTCGTCTTTCCGATCCAAGGATAAGCGCACCTGTTCAATACAGGTGGGATTCCGCCGTTTTCACCCTCGGGAGTAACTCTCCTTGTGAGAGTGCCGATCAATGCAAGGACGCAGACGCAGGGAGGCGGAGATATCATTCCTGTGAGGAAGGCATCCTCCCCCCATGGATGTAAGGGGACTCTAAGTGCAATGCGCAGGGACATTTTCCATGTCCCTGCGGAAAAATCCGTATCCGAGGTGTGAATCCCCTCCTCCTTAAGTAGGGAGGGGAGGAAGGGTGTGCGTAGAATCCCGCTCTTTCCCGTTATAGTTTGAAGGATGGTATGGAAAGGTATAAATGAATGTCTTATGTTCGGTGGTGCAGTGGTAGCACACTTGGTCGACTATCAAGAAGCCCTAGGTTCTCTTTCAGGCGGAAGACGCCGCACATGCGCACATTGGTGCAGACATAAACACAATGGCCAAAGCAACGAATTTACATAGACGATTGTGACTAACTAACTGACCCTTACAAAAAAGTTTTACCTGAGGTAAAGCTGGGACGGTGAAACAGGTAAAAAAAATCCTGTTTTTTTTTCCCCCTCTCTCAACCTGTTAGAAGACCCTTCAGGCATAGATTCGGAGAAAAAACTGTCAAATTTGGATGAACGAGGGGGTAACGTTTTGCATGTGACTGACTGACACCAGTTCTAACATCGTTATAGATATGATGGAAGGTTGAACATGTCTCCAATTAGCCTTATGATCAGGACGACACGTCCTCATTAACCAAACTGTAGCGCTCATTCTTGGAACGCAGAATGACCGCGTTTGCTTCTCACATCGGCATCGCAGACCCTATGTCGTTGCCCAAACAGCTCGTTCACCATATTATCGGGCATACAATCGCCTCACAGATGGAGAGCACAGATGGATTGCCCTGTACTCGTGGAAATGTTTCACTGGCCACATCAGGCAAACATCGAGTAAATCGAATTTCGTTCGCGGCAGCGCCCATGTTTTCTGTCGTTTGGAGCGATTGCCGCAATGGGCTCATTTTGAAGCAAGTTCCAATGATTTAATCACGAGATGCTTTGCGGACGACTGACAACACTTGGCAAATGTCACCACCTAGCGAAACTACTTTTCCACAGAATCCATCGTCCATCGAGTGTCACAACGCCCGTTCCATCATTGCCATCGCTTCAGCAGGCGCCATTGGCGCGTCATCCCAAATGATGTTGGTAGCACCAATTATCGCCTGATTTTTGCACGATGAACGACGCGTTTCATGCGCAAGCAGGTACAATAGGAAGTCGAAGGTTTTGCAACGTGTCATGCCACCAAGTGGCCAAACTGCAGAAATACCTGTCGGCACACACCGCTCAAAACATTGTCCACTTCCATGCAGGATATGGATTCTTGTGGTGTACAGGAATTTTTTGCCAGTGCCGTCTGCTTCATCGAAACTAAACAGCAACGCACTTCCTGCTCCAAATTTTCATGCACCGCTTGATTTGAACTATTTCATCCGCATTGTAAACGTAGGGTAGAGCTTACGCCATTTGCTGGTTTTGGTTTCGCAGAGGAACGATATTACCAAAGATGTAAACTGGTCGTAGCTAAATGATAGACATCGCCGGATGTATTGAAGCAGTAATGACCTTCATTGGTAATGTCAACAATCGTTGCACCAAAAGGAAGCAAACCGCTATTATAATGCCTGATGCCTGATGCATCGGTGCCAAGGTTGGGGCGTACCCACAAGTTTGGGTGGGCATTTAACAGGAGCATATTACATGCTAGTAGTATATAAGAAGTTTTGGTTCACATTTTAGTCGATGTTTCCGTTCATCGGCCTCTTTCAGGTTATTGAAGGGAACTATGTGCCACTTGCAAGCAATATAAGCAATATAAGCAATATAATATGTTGAAGTTCAGGACGTAAGATTTTTTTATGAACAATCCAGTACGAAGTAAACATTTGCATTCAAAATGTTGTAACTTTTTATGTGCAGTTTTCCCATGTTACTCTATAGGTTACTCCTATTGAAGAGTACCAAAGTACAAGATTTTCTTACTCCATTTTCAGAGAAACATAGCTAAGAGTGCATGGTATCTGCTCATTCAATTGATTATACTAGTTCCAAATGTTGTTTTCAGCCGCGATTAGGCTCTGTTTTGGATTTTGAATCTATGGTTTTTCCAACAGAATTGACATAGACTCTCTTCAAGATGGACCTAAATCAGTTGGGAGAGGAATATATGCCTCCGCCTCCTATGGGTCATACGGATGACACGAGTCAACCGATAAGTCAACCGCCTCCTGACGACAGTACTCTAGCGACTCAGTAAGCCCTCAAAGTCATGAGTCAACAAAGCAGAAACAATAATGCTAAATTCCCCTCTAAATTGTATTAACATTTTAAATATTCTACATCTAGAAGCGACCGTGATCCCCCTGTCGCCATTGTGCAAGATTCTGCTGGAATTCGAAGAGTGGTTTCTCTAGCAGAGTTACTTCAATATGTGAATGCCTCGAATTCTACAGTTCCGGTGATGCTCATATAGCAGTTATAACTTGTCACGTTTCCATATAATCCTGATTTCATTACAATACTGCTCTCTGCAGGATAGAAGCCAGGCACTGCTACCCTTCACCCAGCAAGCGATGCCTATGGAAGTGAGTCACTACTTCTCAGAAATTATTGACAACAGAATCCCATTGAGTGTGAAATTAGACACATACATTATTTTAAAGAAACCGAATATATCCAGATTCACAGGACTTATAATGAATAACCTATAATAAATAACCTCTCCGCGCTTCAAGGTCTGACCTGCTGTATTTTTCCGAATCAAAACATGAATATTACTTTGAATGGCTAAAATCGATGGCTTGTAACACCTGCTGCTTTTAGTTCTGGAGAAACCGGAAAGAAAGGATCATTTAACAGGAAAGACAGGATACCTGTGAACCTAATTGGTTTATATTCCAAGTTAACGTTTCTACAAGACTCATGGAAACTTCATTATATTTTGTTGATTACCAATGACGTAATATGATACATGCCTTGTTTAATGCTAATTCTTCGGAAACATTGTCTATGATATTTCAATTCCAGTTACCGAACAGGATAGGTTATGTATAAAGCAGCAGATGTGGTATCAGGACTGCTCCCCCCTTGAAACATTGCATTGGTAATCCCATGCAAGGCAAACTATCAACTTATATTTACATATGCTAACAAGAATTCGAGTATTCGCGGTCCATGGTACTACAGGTGAGGCAGGAAAAGAAAGTTGTTGAAAAAACATCGGTATCACCCCTCCATAACCTTACAACAGTCCTCTTGAAGTTTTTATTAATATACTATACTAGCGTGTCTGTTTGCCCGAAGGGCAAACAAACTCCCTATGGTCCCTTACCTTGGGTAGAGATTATTTCATTTATTCTTTGCGAAATGGCAACACGTATTTAAAGTACGTCCCCATTGAAATACGTGACATATGGGGACGAAAGCCGTCATTTTTATCAAAATCATTACTTCTATGATTTCTAGTGTGCCTTGAAATCTTTACATATGCCCCTTTTTGTAAGAGTGGAAAATACATTTTGCAACACTTCCCTCCTATGATCTAAACTAAGGTGACATATTTCAAAAGTAGAATTATCCCTTAACTCAGTATGTGAATAACTACTTATGTCAGTCAGCTACACACGATCGTCTATATATAATGAAAGAATACTTTTTCTTACTCAGTTATTCATCACGTTAATCTTTGCCAAGTTTAAACTTTCCAGCGCCCTCTGTTTTGCTAGATCAGAAAATTCGGAAAAATGCGCCATGTGCAAAATATGTGCCCAGAGACGTTTTAGCTGAAAAGTACCGTTCTTTTTTATTTTTACCGAAATCCATCCTCAGTGAACTACATGCCCACAAAATGTCAATATTATACGTTTGCCCTTTTCGCTGGTGAAAAACATGTTTGGAAAGCCGACATACCCAAAGGCTAGGCTCGGAGGGGATACACCATGAAAGTTGAATAGTCCCTCAACTCAATAATATCATGTCACTTATAAGTGTGCCAAGTTTCACCATTCCATTTCTGTCCAATTTGCCCTGACAAATTCTTTATTCAAAACATCGCCCCCGAAAAAATTCCCCCAGGGGATGTATTGAGACTTAACATTTTTCTTTAACTCCATGTCTCAGTAGCCACATTCATGCAAAGTTTCAGCTTTCCATGTTCATCAGTTTACCTGACACAAAAAATATTCTTTGGAAACATCTCCCTTTGAAATGTGTGCCCCCAGGGCATTTACTTACATAATCTTAATTTTTCCGCAGCATCCCAATAGTTTGTTAAGTACCAAGTTTCATTTTTCCACACTAGCTCCACACGCCAGGACAAAAAAAAAAATGCTTGAAAATGTCGGAAATGCAAAAAAAATCCCCCCTTGGCATGGATCTAAAATTTCGCAATTTTCCTGAACGCATCGTCTCACTAGGCACGTACATGCCTGGTTTCAGCTTTCCATTTCTCTCCGTTTTACTCAAGCTAAAACACAGTTATGGAGGGGGAATGAATAACCTGAGTTGGAAGTCAAAGAAGCCGAGAAACAGCCGGGAATTGAACCCGGACCTTTTGAATGCCGAGCAAAGACGCTACTACTACACCACCGAACCGAGCATATCCAGTTCATACTCTGAATGCCATCCTCATATGTCCCAAAACATATTTAAGAAAAACGTTTTCCCCCAAAATTTGTACCCCAGGGCATGTACCTCCAAAGTCTGATTTTTTCTGAACTCTGCATCCCAAAAGGTACTTGTGTACCAAGTTTCAGATTTTTAACCCTTCTGGATCATGGTTAGAATTAGCGTCAGTCAGTCACGATCGTCTATATATATTAGAGGCAAATGTATAGGGTTTGAGCTATTGATGCCTTTCAATATGTTTAATGTCTCAAAATCCTTTAAGATCCAGCATCTGAGGCTTGAAACTGAAGGTTTCCAGGTGCTTAAAAGTCATACCAATGTAGACTAATTTTTTTCAGATTGATATATGCGAGGATCACCTTACTAGCAATGGTTGCGATAAGGAGAAATGCAAATTCTTGCATATCTGTCCAAAATTCATTTATGGTCTATGCGAGGAAAATGACTTATGCGAGGCTGGACATTACATACACTCTGATCAAAATGAGTTCATCTTGACACAACACATTGGAGTTAATTACGAACTGGAAACGGTGAAGAAGATACTGAAGTCAGGAACTGTGCTTCCAGATATTTGCGAAAAATACAATCTTCAACGTTGTGATCGAGGTCAGCGATGCCTCAAGATGCACCTCTGTGCAGATTATATCAACGGATCATGTGAAGAATGCAGTCTAAATCACGATATTCACTCTCAGCATTGTGAGGCACTGCTGAAAAAAGTTGAAGTGAAACTCCAGCAAGCGCCACGGGATCTAAAAATGTTATTGAGGCGGAAATGTTCCAATCTCTCAAGTGTTGTGAACCGGAAGAAAGAGGAGGAGATGGAAACGCCGCCTCAGAATGGGTGTGACAAAGACTCAACGTCAAAAGAACCTTTGCCAAGCTGGGAAAAACCGCCAGAAGCATCGAGGCCCAAACCTACCCCTCGTCGCATTGGCATGAATCACGGAATACCAAATCGGCAGACCGCGCAGGTAAGTACCTTATTATTATACATTCACTCGGAGAGGTGGAGTAAAATTTGTAGCAAGAGCCTTTTTAAAGGAGAACGGAAGAGAACGCACAATTTTGCGAGAAGTGCAGACGGGTTGTAATGAGGAGTCTCAAATGTTCGCGTGCATATATATGAATCGTGCAAGTATTTTTTTGTAATATGCAAATTATATTTATTCATTAGAGAGATCAATTCGAACCTAACGAATGTAAGACAGGTTCAATGAGTCAATTACTCTTAATTCCCATTATATATAACAAATGAGAACATTTTTCTGCATTATTTTATTTGTATTGAATCTTTATCGATTATGGGTATATTCCGAACTTGATCTACTACAATTATCGAAAGGCGCGGCAGCGCCTATTCCTTTCCTTCAACCCCATCCCATAAAATAACGTAACCTGGTCGCATTCGTCGCTTAAAGTAATTATGAAAATAAAAGTTGGGCTTGATTCTTTCTTTCCTAACACAGATGTCTCCAGCAAATTTGAAATCTCAATTTTCCGGGAGTGCAGAGAACACTGATTTTCGCTTTTTATGGACGTGAATGCATTTCAGTGATTCCCGCCGCCTCGACCTTGTGTGCCTCGACCATCCCAATTTCTGGGATGTTTTCGAAAAGGTATTCCGCTTTAACACGTTGGCGACAATGCGTCCTGATGCCCGGATGCAGATTTTTTGCCACGTGGGACAATGCGTCCTGATGGCAGGATGCAGGTTCGAAAAAACGTCTTGTGCGCAGATATCGAGTATCTAGCGATCACATATTGATGATCAGGCTCTGCAGTATCTATGATTGCCGTGGTCCATGCAGATCTCTTATGGTGAATATTTTATTCAAGTGAACATGAAAGACTCATCTTCTAAGGTAAAGCTTGTTAGTTTTGTAGTTATAAGGCCGATTTTAGTGAA